TTTCCCTCTACATCATTCCTTCCTCTATCCTTCCAGCATGATCAGGAAAATCAGCTCACCCTGGAAGGTCATCAGCTTGATCTCTGTTCTATCGGCGCTGGTGACCTTGTCCACTCTCAGAGGCGCCTCCCTCAGGCACTGGGAGAAGAGCGACCTCCTCCGGGCGCCCTTCTTCCAAGACGACCACCACGACGACCCAGACGACGACTTTTACACGGACAGTTCCGGAGGCTCTGCGGAAGACGACGACTACTGGGAAGGAATCGAAGAAAAAGAAGAAGAAGAAGAAACAGTGGAAGAACGAAGAGACGAGGAAGAATCGGTCGACGAAGGGACAACGAAAGGGGAAGAAGAAGTAAAGGAAGGAGAGAAGACGACGAAGGACGAAACAAAGGAGACAAAGGAGAAACAGAAAGTCGTCTTACTCTGGACCGGCTGGCGAAGTGGATCAACTTTCTTGGGAGAGTTACTCAAGAGGGTTTCCAAGAAGACATTTTACAGGTATTTCCCTTTGATTGAGATCATTAGCATCTTCATCATCATTATCATTATTATTATTATTATTATTATTAGTAGTAGTAGTAGTAGCAGTATCATCATCATTTCAATCATTATCATTATTGTCATAATAATGATCATTATTGTTTCTATTATTGTTATTATCATTATCATAATCAATATCATTATCATTATCATCATTATTTCATTATCATTATCAATTTCATGATTATGATCATTATATTTCATTTCATTATCATTTATATCAGCATCATTATTATATTATCATTATCATTTCTTATGATTATAATTATTATCATTTATATCATTATCATTATTGTAATTTATTTAATAATCACTATTTGCATTTTTAACATTGCCATTATTATAACCATTATCAGTATCATTATCATTATTATCATTAACATTATTATCATTGTCAATCTTATTATTACTATCATCGTTATCATCATATAATCAATATCATTATTTCACTATTATTATTATCACTATTATTATTATTAATTATATTATTATCATTATCATTGCTGTTATCATCATTATTATTACTATTACTAATATTATCATTATCAATCCTATTTCGTGATCATCATTATTATTAGTAGTAGTAGTGTAATTATCACAACCATCAATGATATCATTACTACAATCATCACTATCATCATCATCACCATCATCATCACCATCATCATCATCATCATCATCATCATCATCATCATCATCATCATCACCATCAACACCCCCACCATCATCATCACCATCATCATCATCATCATCATCAACACCCCACCATCATCATCACCATCACCATCACCCTCCTCATCCTCATCCTCATCACCATCATCCCCACCATCCTCATCCCATCACCATCATCATAACCGCACCGACGACCCCACAGCTACGAGCCCCTGCACATGTTCCGCGTCCGGGTCTTCGACAAAGGACCTGAGGACGACCCCCTCCTCCTCCTGCCCCCCGTGGTCCTCCTCCGAGACCTCCTGCAGTGCAACTTCGAGGCCCACCCGAACGTCGTGAAGTACCAGAAGAACAAGGTGTGGTACGCGAGGGCCAACACGTACCTCGGCACCGTCTGCAAGAGGGGACAGTACCTCGGGCAGAGAGCAGACTGCGGTAATCCGGGATTCGTGAGCGAGGTGTGTCGATCCGCGAGCGTGCATTTGATTAAGGTGAGGGAGGGAGGGGAGGGGGGAGGTTTAGGTAATGAGAGGTGGTGGTGGTGATGTAGGTTTGAGGTGATGAGAGGTGGTGATGGTGATGTAGGTTTGAGGTGGTGAAAGGTGATGGTGGTCTAGGTTTAAGGTGATGAGAGGTGGTGGTGATGTAGGATTAGGGTGACGAAAAGTGGTGTACGTTTACGGTGATGGTGGAGGTGGTGATGTAAGTTTAAGGTGACGAAAGGTGGTGGTGGTGGTGATGTAGGTTTGAGGTGATGAAAGGTGGTAGTGGTGATGTAGGTTTGAGGTGATGAAAGGTGGTAGTGACGGTGATGTAGGTTTGAGGTGATGAAAGATGGTGGCGGTGATGATGTACTTTTAAGGCGATGAAAGGTGGTGGTGGTGATGTTTATTGTGTGATTGGGGGCTCGAATGGATATGATTAAGTGGGTGAGCAATTATGATGTTGATGAGTTTGATATGATGTGTTATGAAGAAAAGTGATTATCATTATCTGTACTAATTTGATGGCAATAAGTTTTGCGAAATCAGAATAAATGTCTCATTTACTAGTAAATGAGCCTCATTATCATAACGATAATCATTTACATATATAATAATGACAGTTGCATCATACAAGATTTCATAAAAAGATGAATGTTTAATGAGACCATAAATAACAGAAAATCCAAGCACGAGGTATGATGTAATAACCATTGCAACTGTGAGTGGCCGGAAGCAAGGTCTATATACTTATATAGACCTTGTTAAGTTATTAAAATACGAGCCTTCTTTCCCTGCGATTA